GAGCAGGTGAGTTGTGTGCAAATGAGTTGTGAGCAAATGAGTTGTGAGCAGGTGAGTTGTGAGCAGGTGAGTTGTGACCCAGGTGAGTTGTGAGCAGGTGAGTTGTGACCAAGTGAGTTGTGGCCCAGGTGAGTTGTGACCCAGGTGATTTGTGAATAAGTGAGTTGTGACCAAGTGAGTTGTGACCCAGGTGAGTTGTGAGCAAGTGAGTTGTGACCAAGGTGAGTTGTGACCCAGGTGATTTGTGACCCAGGTGAGTTGTGAATAAGTGAGTTGTGACCAAGTGAGTTGTGACCCAGGTGAGTTGTGACCAAGTGAGTTGTGAGCAGGTGAGTTGTGACCCAGGTGAGTTGTGACCCAGGTGAGTTGTGAGCAGGTGAGTTGTGACCAAGTGAGTTGTGACCCAGGTGAGTTGTGACCAAGTGAGTTGTGACCCAGGTGAGTTGTGACCAAGTGAGTTGTGACCAAGTGAGTTGTGACCCAGGTGAGTTGTGGCCCAGGTGAGTTGTGACCAAGTGAGTTGTGGCCCAGGTGAGTTGTGAGCAAGTGAGTTGTGAGCAGGTGAGTTGTGACCAAGTGAGTTGTGAGTAGGTGAGTTGTGACCAAGTGAGTTGTGAGCAGGTGAGTTGTGACCAAGTGAGTTGTGACCCAGGTGAGTTGTGACCAAGTGAGTTGTGACCAAGTGAGTTGTGAGTAGGTGAGTTGTGACCAAGTGAGTTGTGACCAAGTGAGTTGTGACCCAAGTGAGTTGTGACCCAGGTGAGTTGTGACCAAGTGAGTTGTGACCCAGGTGAGTTGTGAATAAGTGAGTTGTGACCAAGTGAGTTGTGACCCAGGTGAGTTGTGACCAAGTGAGTTGTGACCCAGTGAGTTGTGACCCAGGTGAGTTGTGACCCAGGTGAGTTGTGGCCCAGGTGAGTTGTGACCCAGGTGAGTGTGACCCAGGTGATTGCGTGCAACTGTGCAACTTATCGCGCGCGATGACAGTGGCCTTTAATCGGTGTTCGCTAGCAGCATGGACCCAACAGCCCTTGCGGGCATCACGTGGGGGACGGGGAGGGGGCATCTCTGTATTTGTGTGCAACTGAATATCTGTGTTTGTGTGCATCTGGATGCCAAACGCCGATGTGAGAGTGTGCACGTGTCTGTGTGTGTGTGCGCGCGTGTGTGTGTGTGGGGAGCGATAGTGTAGCGGTTAGCACGCTGTCTGTGTGTGTGTATCTGTGTCTCTTGTGTGTGTGTGTAAGGGGGAGCGGTAGTGTAGCGGTTAGCGCTACGCTGCGCTATGAACCTGGCGACCCGAGTTCGATTCCCGCTCACGGCCGACACCAGTGACGATTATCTGAAGCGGTCCCGGGCCTCCCCTAGGTCGACTCGGCCTCAAATGAGTACCTGGTGCGGTGTGTAAACATCGCCACTGGGGAGACAAAGGCGGTCGGGCGTGGTGCTGGCCACCCACCCCCTCGTGTACCGTTCCGGCCTTCATAGGTGCTCGCTAACAGCACTTGCCCCTACAGTCTGTTACAGGCTATATGGGGGATCTTTGTTTTTCTTTGTCATTGTTTGCACGCATGGGTATGGCAAGTATGGCTATGGGAGTATGTGAGTGCACGCGCGTGTGTACGCGTGTGCAGGCGTGTGTTGGTATGCCAAGCGTGGTGTATGCGTGTGTGTCTTTGTTTGTTGGCAATGGGGAGCGGTGGCTCAGCGGTTTTGTCCCGTCCACAATCAACACCGCTGACGAATATTTGAAGCGGTCCTGGGCCTCCCGTACGTTGTCTCTCGGCCTCAAAATGAGTACCTGGTGCGGTGTGTTTAAAAAACAAAAAGATGTCACCACTGGGGAGACAAAGGCGGACGGGCGTGGTGCTGACCACCCACCCCCATCGTGTGCCGTGGTGCCGGTCTTCATAGGTGCTGCTGCCGAAAAGCACTTGAAGCAACAGCCTGCCAAGGCTACATGGGGGATCTTTGGCTTTGGCTGTGTGAGTGTGAGCAAGCGAGAGCAAGTGAGGACTGGAGTGACTGAGTGGGTGGGTGAATGAACGAGTGAATGGATGAGTGAATGAGTGAATTAGTGAATGAATGAGTGAATGAGTGAGTGAGTGAATGAGTGAGTAAGTGAGTGAATGAGTGAATTAGTGAATGAGTGAGTGAGTGAATGAGTGAGTGAATGAGTAGGTAAGTGAGTGAATGAGTGAATGGATGAGTGAATGAGTGAATGAGTGAGTGAGTGAATGAGTTAATGAGTGAATGAGTGAGTGAGTGAATGAGTGAGTGAGTGAATGCGTGAATGAGTGAGGTGAGTGAATGAGTGAGTGAGTGAATGAGTGAGTGAGTAAGTAAATGAGTGAGTGAATGAGTGAGTGTATGAATGCGTTAATGAGTGAGAGTGAATGAGTGGGTGAATGAATGCGTTAATGAGTGAGTGAATGAGTGGGTGAGTGCCTGTTCAAGGCTACACGGGGGGGGGGGGGGGGGGGGGGGGGGGATTTGTCTCTTTTGTGTGGGTCCGCGTGCACGTGTAGGAGCGATGAACACGCTTGGCGAAGTACGGTGCGAAAGAAGTTCACCTTAACAAAGCACGTGCCTGTGTTCACGCGGTCTGCGCGTGCGTGAGGGATTTGTTTACAATGGTGTGTGTGTGTGAGAGACGCGAGAGAGAGAGAGAGACAATGGGGAGAGCATCAAAGAGAGAGAGACAGAGATGAACTTGTGAGAGGGAGGGAGAGATGGGGGGGGAGAGAGAATGGATGGAGAGTGGCGGTGGGGAGGGAGAGACAGAGAGAATCCTACAACAGGTGTTAGGCTTATCACGTGTACCTCTCTCTCTCTCTATACCCCCCCCACCACCACCACCACCGCTCTCTCCCCTGGGTGTGGGAGAGAGCGAGAGAGAGGAATGGGAGAGAGATGCACTAATTTGGGAAGGTTGCTCCGTCTATGTGCAGACGGTGACCTCCCTCACCGCTCGCCACACCGCAGGACTCACCACACTGCTCACCGCATTACTCACCACTCACCTCACTACTCACCACACTACAATACTAACCACACTACTCACCACACTACTCACCAGTCACCTCACTGCTCACCACACTACAATACTAACCACACTACTCACCACACTACTCACCACTCACCTCACTACTCACCACACTACAATACTAACCACACTACTCACCACACTACTCACCAGTCACCTCACTGCTCACCACACTACAATACTAACCACACTACTCACCACACTACTCACCACTCACCTCACTGCTCACCACACTACAATACTAACCACACTACTCACCACACTACTCACCACTCACCTCACTGCTCACCACACTACAATACTAACCACACTACTCACCACACTACTCACCACTCACCTCACTACTCACCACACTACAATACTAACCACACTGCTCACCACACTACTCACCACTCAACTCACTACTCACCACACTGCTCACCACTCAACTCACTACTCACCACACTACAATACTAACCACACTACTCACCACACTACTCACCACACTACTCACCACTCACCACACTACTCACCACACTACAATACTAACCACACTACTCACCACACTACTCACCACACTGCTCACCGCATTACTCACCACTCACCTCACTGCTCACCACACTACAATACTAACCACACTACTCACCACACTGCTCACCACACTACAATACTAACCACACTACTCACCACACTGCTCACCACGCAACTCACTACTCACCACACTACAATACTAACCACCACTACTCACCACACTACTCACCACTCTACAATACTAACCACACTACTCACCTCACTACTCACCACACTACTCACCACACTACAATACTAACCACACTATTCACCACACTACTCACCACTCACCACACTACTCACCACACTGCAATACTAACCACACTGCTCACCGCATTACTCACCACTCAACTCACTACTCACCACACTCCAATACTAACCACACTACTCACCACACTACTCACCACTCACCACACTACTCACCACACTACAATACTAACCACCACTACTCACCACTCACCTCTCTACTCACCACACTACAATACTAACCACCACTACTCACCACTCACCTCTCTACTCACCACACTACTCACCACTCAACTCACTACTCACCACACTACAATACTAACCACACTACTCACCACACTACTCACCACACTACTCACCACTCACCACACTACTCACCACACTACAATACTAACCACACTACTCACCACACTACTCACCACACTACTCACCACATTACTCACCACTCAACTCGCTACTCACCACACTACAATACTCACCACACTACTCACCACACTACTCACCACTCACCTCACCACTCACCACACTACTCACCACACAACTCACTACTCACCACACTACAATACTAACCACACTACTCACCACACTACTCACCACTCAACTCGCTACTCACCACACTGCAATACTAACCACACTACTCACCAAATTACTCACCACTCAACTCACTACTCACCACACTACAATACTAACCACCACTACTCACCACTCACCTCTCTACTCACCACACTACTCACCACTCAACTCACTACTCACCACACTACAATACTAACCACACTACTCACCACACTACTCACCACTCACC